TTAGGAGCTCCTTCACCGTGAGTCCTTATCTCATAGTCTTCATCCTGACCTTTCTCATCCAACTTGTTAGATTCATCAAAAATAACATGAACATTTCTTCTGCACACATAGTTTTTTTATTAAATACTTTATAGGCCTTACTATGTGGAGAGTAACCCAAGGAAATACCCTCATCACTACTATCATCAACCTTACCTAGAGCTTCTTTGCCATTATTGTGCACAAAACATTTGCACTCAAATGCTCTCAGGTGGTGATGTTGGGTTTTCTCTCTCGAAGTAACTCATAGGGAGTTTTCTCAAGAATATGTCTGACCATGCATCTGCTTAGCAAGTAGCAAGCAGTATTGACTGCCTCAGCCTAGAAGCTCTTAGGCAGTCCACTAGCAATCACCATGGTCCTCCCATGCCTTTTAATTTAGAGATTTATTATTTCTTTCTACAACACCATCTTGTTGTGGAGTTCTAGGTGTAGAGAAGATATGATCAACGCCATGCGTTTTAAAGAACTCAAGGAATTTAAAATTTTCAAACTTAGTTCCATGGTCTTTTCTTAATCCACTTAGTTTAGACAAGAGGCTTGGCTTCCTTCTTCACATTTTTAGCAAGACTAAAGGTATTCTTAAACTGAACATGAATTAAGGCAGGACAAGTATCTCTAGGTGTCCTACCTTTCCACAATGAGTGCATATTTTGTTACTAGAAATTCCTACATACTTTTGATCCAATTTAGGAACAGGTTTTCTAAAGCTAATTCCTGATTTGTTAGTGCTGTAGTTTTCATTCAGCCAATTCAAAGAATTTGAGGATCTATGCCATTTGCTTAGTCTAGATAGTTCATAATTAGCCATTTCCAGATTTTCTCGCAGAACTTTATTCCTACATTCAGCATCACAAAGATTATCGTTAACCTTTTTTAGTTTCTTTTCAAGCTTATCTTGTAGATCACTCATTTTTCCCTTACCATGTGTATAAGATGACTTCTCATTTTTAGAAGAGAGCTCAACAACTTGGTTCTTAAGGTCCTTTGTCTTGTCCGTCAAGATCAACTCTGTCAGATTCAAGTTCTTTGAGATCAAGTTTGACACATGAAATGGTGCTTATTAACTGATCATTTCCAACACTTATTTTGTCCATTTCACTCATCATGGTCATAAATATGGCCATCAGTTGTATTTTAGATATAACATGAATGTTTTCTTTCAAGTTAGAGATACTTACCTGATTTGTTTCTTCTTCAGTCTCCAAATCATTCACGGTCATCATTCCTATTACTTCTTCTGTTTGGCTTTTTCAATTTCCATCAGTGCTACTTCATCTCCAAAATCAGTTTCCAAGGTCCTCCATATGTCATGGGCGCAAGAGGACATCTTTTGGAGAATATTTATGGCAAACTTCTATAAAGCAGGTCATTTGCTTTAGCATTCTTCTGGATTAGCTGAAGATCTTCATCATCATATTCCTCTTTTCTCTTATTACATTTGTTACCTTCACCATCCATTTTGGTAGGGATGATAAGTCCATGACTGACAATTACCCATAGGTCAAAATCAGTAGCTTGAAGGAATGCTTCCATACACATCCTCCATTCATTATAGTGATGTCCATAAAATAGAGGAGGTCTTCCAATGTGCATTCCAGGCTGTACTGGAGGTTCTGTCTCTACTGTCTGATGTCCATCAATTACAGCATAGAGGTGGCCTCATCCCCCTTCTCTTCCTCTTTATCACTTTCACTGTCCTCATAAGCTGCTAGAAAGGCATGCTTTATTGTTTTAGTTAATCCTTTACCTAGGATTTTTTCTTTGTTGGGACCCTTTTCTCTCATTTTTTTTCGTTTCTCCTTTTCAGCTCGTTCTTTCCTCCACTCAATTTCCCACATTGGGCAGTCCTTGACCATGTGGTCTAGCTTGCTACACTTGTAGCAACTATCATTATTTGCTTAGCCTTACCGCTGGTCTCTTTCTTAGATGTATTTTTGGAGTTCTTCATGAACTTCTTTAACTTAGCAAACATTGCTAGCTCAGGATCATCACTTTCAGATTCATATTCCCTCGGACGCCTTAAGGACCAAGGCCTTATCCCTCTTTGGTTCTTCGTTGCGCAGTTCTATCTTTCTCATTTCATGAATCCTTAAGTTTCCAACCAACTTATCAAAGTGAGATCTTATCCAGCTTCCTGGCTTCTTGAATAGCTGTGACTTTTGATTCCCATGAACGGATAAGGATTTTCTTAGCCTTTGCATTCTTCTTCATCATTCAGAAATATGCTGCCACAAATTCAGGGGGGTCCTTAGGAACAATTTCATTTTGCGCATTTTGTTTAGTAGGAGTTAATGGACCTTGGTTCACTGTGGTCCATAGTTCATAGTCTTCAGCTGTTAGGAAATCTTTCATTCTTTTCCACCAACTGTAATATTTTCCATTGAATAGGGGTGGTATGGTAGTTGATGGTCCTTCATTAATTCCAGGTGGAGCACTCATTTTGCTTCCGAGATCTCTCTAGGTGTTAGCAGTGTGTGAGAGAACCTGCTTTGATACCACTTGCTGGTTTGAGTGCCACTATAGATTTACTAAAAAACCTAGTTCTTTAACCCCTTAATTGTAAAATAAGCTGTAAAGTAAACAAAGCAATTTTTACGTGAAAAATCACCTGGCTTAAAAGGTTCAAAAATCACGATGTACTACGTACGATTTTCAACTTTAACTTCACTAGAACAATGAGCCAAATGTATCATTACAAAACTGTAACTCAATACTCTCCAGTACTCCTACTACAACTATTTCATTTACAAGTTACTCTAACTTGTAAAACAAACACTGACTCCAACTCATTAGTTGTTTGTGACACTTTTATTACAACTCGATTTCCTAAAATACATTCACTAGACTGACTCAAGAGGAACACAATACTGGTACACGACTAAAGTGTGTAAACTGTAATTCTTCAGTTGATGTACAAATGGATAATCCCAGCAGTCCAGAAGGATAGTACTTAAATTCCCTGGACTCTGAGATCTTCTAGGAGCCCAATGCGTAGTCAGCTCCCGTTTGATAGTACTCCTACTGTACAAAGGACTCCACAAGTCTTGGGACTCCTGCCTCTCACTTATGCATGCTTATCTTCCTGGCAACAACCCTTATCATGTTTACCCGCCTTCTTCCACCAAACTCGGACCTAAGGAACTTTGAGATAAACTTATTGCAAAGACGCACAATCCTTGAAGAGCTGGTCCTTAACCTGAGGAGCTGGTTCTTAGAGTGGGTGAGGACTTGGTTCTTAGAACATTTCATCTGAACAAACTTTGTTAATCATCAAAATCTCAATACTCAACAATATTGGCTATGGAAGCAACATCAGTAGCATCAGAAAGTGCTTTAGCGGCAATATTTCAATCGGAGATCATAGACATTCATTAGCGGATGACAGCCTAGAGATTTCCATCTGATTCAGAGATCGGATTAATTCAGAAAGAAGAATTCTTGGTGTTGGAAAATTAAGCACTAGGGAAGAAGAAGAATACAATTAGATACTTTGCACTAGGAGCGATAACGACATGGAACATCAAATAACATTGCCAATTCCACAACAATGTGTCCCACAAATATTATAGATCAGTTAAAACGAAGCTATATATGAGCTTATAAATATTATTAATATGATAATTTATAATTAACTACTAAGAGGCTAGTTCAAACAGAACCCTTCCTAGAAGGTGGCTGTGTAGATTAGGTGTTGTTCAAAAGGCTTGTGTTTGTGTGTGAAATTTGAAATTTCTATTAATAAAATAAAAGGTTTTAGCCTTGAATTTTTTTATGAATTGTCTTACTTAGTTACTTTATAGTTTGAGACTATACTAAATAAATTACAAGTCTATTATAATTACTAAAATATTTCATTACAAGTCTTCTGTTTTAATATTTTATAATTCTTTACTTAGTTTCTTTATAATTTATTAAGTTTTAAGTTTATTAAAAAAGTTAAAAACTAACCGTTGCAAACTTTAAAAACTTGGTCATTATCAACTTTTAAAAAACAACTATTGCTATCTATAAAAAAAAAAACCACTGCCAACTTTAATTTAAATGTAATTTTTTTTAAAAACTTAGGGCCCACGTCCCGTCCCGTCCCATCCCGCTTAAGGTTCATCCCTCACCGTCTCGGTAAAATTCTATCCCGTCCCGCTTAAGGTCCATCCCTCACCGTCCCGGTAAAATTCTGTCCCATCCCGCTTAAGGTCCATCCCTCACCGTCCCGGTAAAATTCTGTCCCCTCCCGTCTCGGTGATTTCGTTGCGTCCCGACGCCGTGTCCCGTTGGACAACTATAGTTGGTATTAAGGTCTAAAAGAATTTTCCTCTAGGGAGCGATTTTTCTATCCTTTTAGGTTGCATAGTGTATATATGCATATCTCTTCGAAAAAATTGTTATTTGTATTTTCACATTTTTCGCTAAGCACTGTCAAATGACAATCCTTACTAAAGGGAGTTTCTGGCAATGTCCCTACGAACGAGCTTTGCAACCATTTTGGATTTAACGAGAACAAATTTGTATCCATTTTATAATTCGAGTTGGGCAAAATTTGCGATCATGTTTTAATCAACTTTAAACTGAAAAGAGCTTCATTTTTGTGATTTGGCCGATTTTTTTTTTTGAAGAAGAATGAACTTCCAAATTCTTTTTGAGTTTCTGCAAATTCTTTCCGTTTACGTTATTTTTACAACAAGAGAAAATGAAATGTTTTCATGCTTTTCAAAAAAAAAAAAAAAAGAACTTCAAATTCTATATTTGCATTGGATGCGAAATTTTATTGAGCGACAGAATACAACAAAAAGCAGACTACATTTGTCGCTATTATACTGACAACAGGGACAGCTGGCGCTCTACGTCTCGCATTATGAAGGTAATTGGGCTTAGTAGCTTACAGCGGGCCATGGGCTCGCTAAAAAAGGCCCACATAACAGTCCAAAACGATCCAACAGTACGACTCCACTCCTCTGGAATTGACAGAAGCAAGAAAAGCGCATGCTGTCCACCCCGTAGTGTACAGCACCAACCGCTCCTTCAAAAACTCAGAAGGGTTTTGGGTTTTCATTGGAAAAACATTTCTCCAGATTAAGAGGGAAAAAAATGGTGAATCCGAGATGCTATTTGGACATAAGCATTGGTGGAGAGCTTGAAGGAAGAATGGTGATTGAGCTTTACAAAGACATTGTCCCTAAAACCGCTGAAAATTTCAGGGCTCTCTGCACTGGAGAGAAAGGCATTGGCCCTCACACTGGTGTCCCTCTCCATTTTAAGGTCCTCATTCTGTATTTCCGTTTTCCTGCACGTATATAGTTTCTATATACATTAATGTTTTTTTTTTGAGAATCTATGTACATTAATGTTTACGCATTTGTTTTTTCTTCCTTAATTCAGTATTAGAAAGAAACGGGCCTGATGGAGGATTCATATCGTCAATGCCGACTAGTTTGGAATTGTGAAGTAATTATAGCAGTAGTGGCTGTTTTGGTTGTGTGTATTTCATTATTTGGCCTTCTATTTGTTACTATTTATGGACTTTATGGTATTTATGTTGTTGATGAGTGCCGGCCATGAATCTTATTTTAAGGTTCTCATTCTGTTTTTCCATTTTCCTACACGTATAAAGTTTCTGCAAGCTAATGCATATTGTTACGCATTTGCATTTCTTATTTTTCTTTATCACGCAAATAATTGAGTATTAGAATGAAGCAGGCCCAATGGAGGATGCATATCGTCAATGCCAACTAGTGGAGTAATTATAGGAGTAATGGTTGTTTTTATTGTGTGAGTTTCAGCATTTTGGCTGTTCTCTTTGTTCCCATTCTTTCAGTTCCCTATTTTGTGTTTTTTGTGTTATTTATGTTGTTGGTGAGTATGCGGCATGTAATTATATTGTGCGAGTTGACATTGGTTTGACTTTAATACTGTATTATTTTACTTAAAAATAGCAGTATGCGGCACTCCGTTTTCGGGGGAGGAGGTAGAGTACTAGTTGTGTGTTACCCAAGCTTTGGCTCAGACTTTGTATATGTTTTAAAAAATCCACTAAATAAATACAACTAATATATATTGAACCCTTTAAATCAGATGTGCTGTGGTAGAATTTCATACTCGAAACCCTAAAGTTCAAATCTTGGATTTGCTTTTGTTTGTTTATAGAATGAATCGTGTCTTAAACTCTCATCTTCTAGTGCAAGTAGGGCTCGGAGCTTTTTGTTTTGTTCTTTTGTTTCTCAGCGTATACAGCTCTACATTTCTATAAGGGAGGAATAGTGTGTATGAATCTACTAGTTAGCCTAGGAAAAAAAATAAAGGAGAATGGGGCTCATCACGTAACTTCATGGATTGTTAATCAAGATGCTCAAGTACCCACCAATAATAAATATATGAAAAGGAGGAAAGTAAGTCTGGTTGCACCTATGTGAAACAGGCCTCACCTTTACTGGTGAATGGATCGTAGTCCGTCAGTTCATGGCAAACTTTCAAATGCCAGTGATGATATAATTGCAGGGAATCAGGCTTCAATGTGAGAATAACACTTACAGTTCCAATGTCACAGAAAGAAATTTGGGTGGACTTTCTGGAATTATGTGAACTTCTGATGCCACTGTCTAGGTTACTTAATATTTTATCCTATTTAAATTGTTTTCTGGTGACCCCAACAATTTGATTCTCTACATGTGATTTTCCATTTTAACCTTTCTGTCTAGCTTTTTCTTTTCCAGTTTTTTATTGTTGTTTGCTTCTTATGCAGGGTTCTTGCTTTCATCTTGTCATTAGAGGTTTTATGTTACAAGGTGGGGATATATCTGCTGGAGATGGCACTGGTGGGGAATCAATTTATGGCTTGACATTTGAAGATGAAAATTTTAAACTCAAACATGAAAGAAAAGGGATGCTTTCTATGGCAAATTCTGGTCCAAATACAAATGGCTCTCAATTTTTCATCACCTCTTCTCAAGCACATCATCTTGATGGAAAGCATGTTGTGTTTGGAAGAGTAATTAGGGGTTTGGGGATGATTCGTGCAATTGAGTATGTTAAAACAAATGAAAATAATTTTCCTGACCTTCCTGTGGTAATAGAGGATTGTGGAGAAATTCCAGAGGGAGCCGATGATGGCACAACTAACTTCTTTAAAGATGGTGACACTTACCCTGATTGGCCAATAGATCTTGACGCAAAACCAGATGAAGTTGCTTGGTGGATAACTGCTGTTGACTGTATCAAAGCCTTTGGCAATGAACATTACAAGGTACTCCTAGTTTAACAGATGTTTCTTGTTTGTTTCAAGTGTGCATTGTGTTGTTATATAAGTTCATACAGATATGTTTTCAAAACTAGCTATAATTGATAGCTTGTTCTTAACAAGTAATAAGATCTATTGCAAAAGAAAAAACTAAATAAAGAGAGGGGGAGAAAGAGATAGAGAAAGCTCAATGTGATACCATTTCTTCTCTACTTTTGTGTAATTTTTTCCAAGGGGTAATTGAAACCTGGACTTGGATGCTCATTTTTTCTATTTCAAAATGAGATTGTCACATCATATTTTTCATTGACAGAAGGAAGATTATAAGATGGCTATCAGAAAGTACAGGAAGGCTGTCCGTTATACCGACTTATGCTGGGATAAGGAAGACATTGATGAAGGTGAACTGTCTAATTGCAGCTATAAATGACTGTCTGATTTGATTTTCTTCAAATTGTTTTGAGCTTCTCATCATTAGACCATCTGTCTGAGGGGATTATTTGCTTCATTATGCAGCAAAAAGCGAGTATTTGAGGAAGACAAAGTCCCAGATACTTGCAAACAGTTCTGTAAGTTCTTCTAAATTATCTTGCAACTATGTGATGTTACTTACTGGTTTTCTTATCTTTAGAAGCTTGTAGGCCTTAATAGGACTTTCAGTTACTAGTATAAGAACTAGTCCTTTTATTAGCATTATTATTATTATGGAAAGAGCATAACCTGAGGATGTAACCTTCCTAAAGAAACCAGCTTTCTTACTACTTAATATTACTTCGGTACACACACACACACACACACACACACACACACACACATATATATATATATATAAACTCTGTTTTAGTCTACACATTTTGGCCATCAATATCTATATGCATTGAAGAACTCTAAAACATTTCCATTAGTTGGTTAGATATCTTTGAAATGCCTTGAAGTTCTTCATTGTTGATTATAAATACTATGGTCTTCTAACTTCTTCATTTTCCACTTACTGTTGATATTCAGACTGATTGAATATAAATATCCAGACTTTGATCTTGATTTTGGACTATGTAGCTTATACTTTCGTCTTGCTCAGCCTATTCATGTTCACGTTCTTGTTCAGGCCTGTAAGCTGAAGTTAGGAGACCTAGCTGGAGCATTGTTGGACGCTGATGTTGCTATTTATGATGGAGNCAAAAACCTAGCCATTGTAGCCTCCTCTTCCTCCATACAATTAGCTTGGATCATAGCCATTTCCATAGCCTTAAAGTACTCATCTACAGACATGGACCCTTGCCTCAAAGTTTGAAGACGTTGTTGTAGATCTCTTTGAAAGTGTGATGGCACAAATCTCTTCCTCATTACCCTCTTCATCTCAGCCCACGTAGCAACGACAGCTTGTCCTTCTTGCAATCTGTCCCTATAAAGCTTTTTCCACCAGATTGCTGCATAATCAGAAAACTCCACAACAACAAGTTTAACCTTCTTACCCTCCGAATAGTTGTGGCAGTCAAAGATGGCTTCCACTTTTCTCATCAGGGTACAAGTCTCCCCCTTGTTCCCTTGAAAGATGGCATCTTCATCTTTATACTACTTATATTATCATCTTCTAGTCTTCCTCTTTGTCCCCTCCTACCTCTTCCTACCCTATCAAAATCAATATCATCATTAAAATCATCGATAGGGTTTTCCTGATTTACAATGGGAGCGGGTACATTTCTCCTAGCTTGGAGTCTAGCGTTATTTCCCCTCCTAAGTTCAGCTATTGTAATATTTTGCTCAGCAATGGTGTCCCTTATCTCTTGGAATTGCAAATTTCACCTTTCAAATTGTTGGTGCATAGCTTGCAAGGTGAAATCATTCCTTCCTTTAATTTCGGCTTCTTGAAGAACCCTTTGTTCATCATCACTACTTGTACGAGACATTATGAACAAAGCAATATATATCTCTCAATTTGGCTTTTCCCTCTGATGTTCTCACCTCTTTTTCCACTTAATGCAACTCTTGGTCGTTAATCTCTAGATTTATTAATAAACATTACTAGTTACAACCCTTAGTGATAAGAATATGGAGTTAGAAAAAGAAAGAAAAGTGAATGACCAAACCTAGGAAGAATAGGAATTGGTTAGTAGAAAAAAAGGAAAGAATTTTAGGAAACCCAAAACCCACAAGAATAAGGAAAGAAGTTTCCTTAATCTTCAAGAACAAGGATCCCCTCTTCTTGTTTTCTTTCTTGAATTGGAAACCTAATAATATTTGAATTCTCAAAATAATAATGAGCAATAACACTTTTTTTGGGGCTGATTTTTGTTTTTTTTTGGTTTTTTTTTGGGGAAAATGCATAAGTACCCCCCCGACCTATACCCGGATTCCCAACTACACACTTTTTCTTTGCGGAATCCTATTACCCCCCTAAACTTTTTTAAATGGAATTATTTGCACCCTTAACGCTGACGTGGCAGAGTGTGTGTATTTCACTCTCCCAAAGGATTGCGAGAAGCAAGAAAAAATGATTTTCAGATTATTTTTTATTCTTTTTTACCATTTTTTCTTACTTTTTTTTTCCTTTTCCTTTTTCTTTGTCTTTTTTCTTTTACTTTTTTTTTCGTTTCTTCTCTAATTCCGGCAGATATTCATTCACCGACGACTTTGTCTAACCGTTTTTCTTCTATTTTTTCTTTTTACACACAAATTAAACTCTCAAAAAGATCTATTCATAAGCAAAGCAAAATACACTCAGATTTGGGGGAAAAAATTCACCATCGGAAAATCTTCCCACGCCGGAAAAAAAATGATGTATTGAAATTTTAACTAAAAAAAGTTTTCTCAGCTTGTATTCGTTTTTATTTCTTTTGCTCTTCCTCCCACACATAAATTACACTTTCAAGAAAAGTTTATATATATATAAAATAAAACACACTTAGATCGGGATAAAAAGCTGTCACCGGAAAAAAAAATCGCCGAAAGAAATGGTGTTTGTGAAATTCCGACGACCACCATTTTATGCCGCCGGTGACCAAAACAAAAAGAAAGTGAATGAAATAACCAAAAAAAAAATGAGAATAATAAGAAATAAGAAAAAAGGATATGAAAAAGAAGAAAGAATAAAAAAAGTACTAAAAATACATGTGGGGGCGCGTGTAGCTCACCACTTGCCAAGAGTTTGGCTGTCAGCATTAAGGGTGCAAATAATTACATTAAAAATAAGTTTAGGGGGGTAATATGATTCCCGCAAAGAAAAAGTGTGTAGGGAATCCGGGTATAGGTCAGGGGGGTACTTATGCATTTTCTCTTTTTTCTTCTTCTTTTTGTTGCTCAAGAACCTCCCAAGATTATCAAGATTGAAATCTTGATTAGCCTATGCTCTGATACCACTTGATAACAACACGATAGAGGATTCAAGAATTACTAAAGAAAAACAAGAAAATCAAGAAACGTGCGGAAGCTAAAAGAAAATAAAGAAGCAAAAAAGCACGGAAAATTAAAGATAAAATGAATTCAAGAAAGAGTTTCTTGAATTCAAGAAGTCTATTCTTGAAGTTGAATCCTAACAACAACAATTAGCTAATAAAGAACTAATCGCCTTTGGTAGAGAATTAAACACAAGAGATAGAATGTTAAACCCAATCCTTTAGAATAACGAGAACAACAATAAGCCTAAACTTATCACCTTTCTTGAATACCTAGAAGTGATCTAAGATTTCGAAAGAGTTTAATCTTACCACCTTAAGCTGAGTCTTGAAGGTTGAAAAATAAATCCAAGAGTAGCCACACACAAGAGTGCAAGAAAAATCTCACAATTTTTATTGATAATAGTCTAAGTCTAAAAGCAAAGAAGATACCCCTTTATATAGGGAAGGGGTCACGAAATTCTACCTAAAAAAACAATGAAATAAAGTCCTAAACTACTTTGGATAACAAGTCCAACTACCATAGGAAAAGGTAGAACTCTAGGAAACAAAAACCAAGTCAATCTTGAAAAGTAATTCCAATAATCTTAGAAAAAGAAAAACAAAACCTTAACTACCTACGAAAGAATCAAATATGTCCTAACAAACTAGGAAACAAGATAAGGAACTTTGACTCCTTCTCCTATGTCTTGGTCGCCCCTCCTTGAGCTAACTTGGGTGCCAAGTTGGCTCCTTTGTGAGTTGATTTAGGCGCCTAATTTGAGCCCTCCTTGGCTGGTGCTTGGACCCCAATCTACCTCCTCTTGGACTTGGACTTGAACTTGGACCATGAAATGAGTGTAGCACTTAGCTAAATCCTTTCCATAATTCTTAAGCTCTTCTTCCACCATTAGTGCCTTCTTGATCTCCCATTGAAGCCCAACAACCTTGTCTTGCTTCTCCTTAGCTTGAGACCTTGTGAATGGCTTTCTTGGTGCTTCTAAAGCTTTATCCTTGTCCATGAAGCTATCAGCTCCCACTTCATCTCTATTTTAGGCTATCACATCCATCATATTAGGGACATAATTTTTTAATTCTTAGTTTGTACTCCCTCTGTTTCTATTTATGTGTTGTACTTTCAATTTTAGTCCGTTTCAAAAGGAATGTCACTTTCCATGATAGTAACTCTTTAATTTCAACATCTCACATATCATATTTAAGACCACAAAATTCAAATGACTTTTGGTACATTATACGCATTAAGACCATAAAATTCTAAAGTGTCCTTTACTTTCTTAAATTTCATGCCTTATTATTAAACTAAGACATATAAAATGGACAGAGGGACTAATAGAAACTTTGGTACATCCATCTTTTTACATCCTTTACTCTCATTAATCTTTGTTTTCTAAATTTTGAGTTATTGCAGGGTTTTCTCATGAAGTACAAATCTAACTGTGGTGAATCAAAGCTTGAACGGATTTCTGACTTGACTTTTAATGCTGCTAGTGGGATTTTTTATTTTTGAATACAAAAATATAGCACTGCATATACGTCAACGTGTTTTGTACAGAAAGGAAAGTCAATTTAATGCAAGAAAATCTTTCCATTTTAATACAGAAATATGGATGTTTGGATGTCCCCAACTTAGTTACCTGGGGCTTCAGCAAAAGCCCTTTTATCTCAGCTTAGTTCTTGAATATTTTTAACCTCTTGATGTGCAATATATCTAGCACAGAGTCTGTTTCCTAGATAAATTTTTCTCGTAGTTATTTTTGGAATATTACTCTTACTTGGGTTCATTCTATTATTTGTAAATCTCTATTACTACATCTTCATTACTGTTGTTTTCTTAATATCTTGCCGTTGCTACTGCTTTCTTTTCATCTTTCCTTGAGCTGCAATTCAATTATGCATGACATACCTTCCTCCTTAAGGTACGTAACAATTGGCACCTCATTGTAAAGAGACAACTTGGTACGCACTAAGCTCCTGCTATGTACAGAATTTGAGAAAAGGTTGGACTAGATTGAACATATTTTAACGGGGTATTATTAGTTTTTGCCCGTGCCAAATTCTATTTACATTTGGTAGTCGAAAAAGTGTATAAATTTGTATAATTTTTGTATATAATATACAGAATGAGTATATATACAAAAAATATACAAATTTTATATAATTTTTTCGACTATTATTTTTACAGCGGCTATACAGTGTCATTTTCCGTATTTTGACACCTCACGATGTGGGCTGAAATATTAGTTTTGCAGCAAGGAGGTATAGTCTTTACGCAACAATTGATAGGAGCTTATGAAGAAAAATAGAACAATTAAATAAATTTTATTTTATTTCCCTATTTGAAGGTTAATTTATTTTGATATTACAACATGGCCTACTATGTAGGCACTTAACAATTGGAGTTAAAGAATTTTTTTTGTATAATCAGTCTTTTACTCGTTCAACGTATTGTATGACAAATCCTAGAGTATATTTCCTGGTCAGGACAAATATGCACTTTCTAGTTGTTTATTCTGAGTTTCCTTTCTTCTGAAAGCAACTGAGCAAAACGGAGTATAGCAGCTTCGTCAGTGCCCTCCGCAACAACTGGTTCGTATCGGCCTGTTTCTAAGTTGACCCTTGACACTGGCTTCTTCAATAGATCATTACCAATTCGTGCAAGTGTCTCCATGTTTTCTACGGTTGCAATATCCATAGATGAGCCTCTCCAGTCAAATTGGCGTCCTGTACTATTCAAGCTCAAATAATCAACAAAAATAAATGTATTTGGTGGTA